AAACAACACTGGTCTTTCGTGTTGCTGGAAAATGATCTATATGTTTGCTTTGCTTTGGAGGTGAGTTTATTATCTCCCTATCTCCAATAAAAATAATATTGGCTGAGCATAAGTAATCGAGTAATTAAGCAAAAAAAAAACAACCCTCTTAATAATTTGCTCATGAGCAATCACCATTCAATTAAAAAGCAATTAAATGGTTATTTGTGCCCAGCAAAATAAGGCGGTCCTCAAATCAGTAACACAATCAATATTTTCACTGCAACAGGATGCGGTTGAGATGGACCTTGTAACCTGTACCGATTAAATTGTCGTCAGACTGTTTCCTAGTTAAATCACCACATGTTTATTTGTCTTGATTAGTATGCAAATTCACATCTGATTCTAGCAAATTTGGGAGTGCACCCAAAGCGAGGGAGGTGGGGTCCGGATACAAGTTGCTTCTAAATGTTGCCATGGTCAAAACACTGTTCATTTTTGCCTTGTGTACGGAAGATCTTTGTGCCATTGCTCAATTTTTTTACACGCTAAATCACAGTTTGTGCAGTTATAGTACTGAACTGCATTTTGAGCTTCCTTATTCAGGTGGTTTTGGGTTGTGGCCATTTATTCCACAACTGTTCAAAGATAGGATGGGGCAGTACAAATGGTACATACTTACAGGGGTCCTTTTACTTCTTAGTCCTTTTAGTTTAGGTATCACAGCATCCCATAGTCACGTGATTGTGCTGGGGGCACTGGGCAACTGGCTCATGATTATGACTTTGCAGCAAGCCAGGGTGACAATCCACAAGCAAAATCAATGGGGAAGCTGGCAGGAAGTCAGAAGTCTCAATCACCTGAGCTCCTTACTTCATGATGGCATAGTTCAGTGGTGGCGAACCTATGGCACGCATGCCAGAGGCGGCACTCAGAGCCCTCTCTGTTGGCACACGCGCCACCGCCGCCAGCAGCAGGTGCATCAGGCCACCACTGCCACCCGGAGCAGGAGCCCCGCCCAGCACAAAGGAGGCGAAGCGTCCGACTAGCAAGCTCGAGTAGAGGTGGTAGAGCAGAGGTCACCAACCATTGTCGATTGGTGGACTGGAAGAAAAGGGAGGGGGAAGCATTTTACATGCACGCATGCGTGCACAGGGCCGCGATCACGCATGTGCTGCAAATGGGGAGGGACTAGTGCCTGCGTGATACTCACTAGCCCTGCCCCATTCTTGCGTGGTGCAGCGCCTTGTATCTGCACCCCATGGCACGGCCGTTTTTGCGCCTTGCAGCACGGTGGCCCATTTTTGTGCCCCCGTTTTTTGCGTGCCAGAGGCGGCACTCAAAGGCACCTCCCTGCCCCCCCCATGAAGGCACTACAATGCTGATGCGGCCCTGGCACTGTGCAATAAATAAGTGGGTTTTGGGTTGCAGTTTGGGCACTCGGTCTCTAAGAGGTTCGCCATCACTGGCATAGTTCTTGCTTAAAAAAGGCAACCTGGAGCCTGCTGGAATTACCGTAGCTAAGGGATATGATCACATTATGTCATGCATTACTACCATGTCACTTTAGTGACAGAAATTCTGGTCCCAATTTCTGTCATAAGCTGAGGACTATTTGTATAAAGGCAGCCAAGCCGGGGCTTCAGATCTTGTGCTTCTTGATGGCTCCATCAAGTCAACAGGCTATGATTTAGAGTTGTTGGATTAAGTGGTAGTTTCTCCATCTCCCACAGAGGTAGAGGTAGTTGCTATCTCTGCAGGGTTAGCCGTAGTTGCTAGTTTAAGCAAATCAGGATTTGCAGTCTCCGTTCAGTTGTCATTTCTTCTGACTGTTTGTTGATTTCCAATCATAAATAAAACTGCAGCGGAAAATGCACCAAGAGTATCCAGTTTCACGTCTAAGTGTTAGAAATTGACTGACACCCGACCACAATAGACACATCTCAAAATAAATTTGTCAGCGAGCGCTGTTGTGTAGCAGGAAGAGCAAATATTGTGGCAAAGTTGTTGACACAAAAAAGAGAAAGGATATAACGTTTCCTCAGAAGAACTGGTGGGTTTTCCAGTAAGTTTTCCTGGAGTGTTTTTCAGAGAATGCAAAGGTTTATATTGTGTTTTCAACCTGACAGTGCTGAAAATGTTCTTCCAGTCAACGCAACCTCACTTAGTGCAGCCGTGAGCCAAAACCTCATTAGCTCATGAGGCCTTGAGCTGAAACTTTGGCCTAGGAAAATGGATAATAAAATTCATCCTCCACAGAATTATGGATTTTAGATAGGTTAGGTAGGTAGGTAGGTAGGTAGGTGGGTGGGTGGGTGGTTGGATGGATGGATGGATGGATGGATGGATGGATGGATGGATAGATAGATAGATAGATAGATAGATAGATAGATAGATAGATAGATAGATAGATAGATAGATAGATAGATTTTTTTACTGTGGGCACAATGACACACATTAAAAATGAAATTTAGTTGGTTGCTTTTTGGGCCTGCTTGTCTCTCCAACTGGAAGCAGGCCTACTTCCTTTGACAATTGTGGGTCATTGCAGTCCCATATAGAGAGACCTGTGGTTATTGTAGTAGATGCTCTGATAATTATCTAATATATTAAATATAAAACAGTAAAAATGCCCTTTACAGGTGGTCCTTGACTTGTAACCACAATCAAACCCAGAATTGTTAAGCAAGACAGTGGTTAAATGAATTTTGCTCCATTTTACGACCTTTCTTGCCACCGTTGTTAAGTGAATCACTCAGTTGGTAGGATAGTAGCACGGTTGTTAAGTGAATCTGGCTTCCCCGCTGACTTTGCTTGCAAAGTGCAAAATGACCCCGGGGCACTGCAACTGTCATAAATACATGCCAGTGGCCAAGTGTCTGAATTTTGAGCAGGGGGCTATGAGGAGGTGGCAGTGGTCACGCGTCACTCTTTTCAGTGCTGTTGTAACTCTCAACAGTCACTAAACGAATGGTTCTAAATCGAGGACTACTTGTAGTAAAGTTTAGCTCCTAGTGATGATGTAGAAACAACTCTGAAGTCCAAGTGCTATTGGTACTGCTATCCTGAGAAGAATACAAAAGTTCTTTCCCATTGCCCTCTTCAAGGAAGGAAGGAAGGAGGGAGGGAGGAAAGGAAGGAAGGAAGGAAGGAAGGAGAGGGTGGAAGAAAGGAAGGGAAGAGAGGGAGGAAGGAAGGAGGGAGGGAAGTAGGAAGGAAGGAAGAAAGGAGAGGAAGGAAGGAAGGAAGGAGGGGAGGGAGAAGGAGGGAGGGAGAGGAAGGAAGGAAGGAGGGTAGAAGGAAGGAAGGAAGAGGGAGGAAGGAGAGGAAGGAAGGAAGGAAGGAAGGACACAGGGTCTGTTCCTTCGTATCCAAGATTACTGAACATGGCATAATGGATTTAAGTTGCAGGAAGGCAAATTTTAATTAAAAGCTTTTTAAAAAATCTAACATTATGAATGGCTTGGCTGTTTGTAAAGTAACCTTGTAGAAGGTGAGCATCAAAATAATATTCATTTTGGGGAGGCACAATTTTCCAGAGTGTTGGGATCACCACTGACAGAGCTTTTTTACAAAATGACCATGCTAGGTTTTTTTTGCAAGCCACCAGTAATGTCTGAACTCCTAGTGCGAGAACTTCCGTGTTAAAGCAAACTGATCTCGTGCAAGTTCTATCCAGTGAGGCTCTTAACTCACTGGGGAACATGTTTGAATGTGGACTTGCGTAAAAGTGAAAAACAATTGATTTGAGGCCTTGCATAAGATCAGGTCTCTTCTGGCTGGAAACCAAGGTGAGGTGAAAGGTATTGATCTGTGCAACAAATTTTACATCACACTATGCTGTTTTGTATTGCGTAGGACTCTCCAGAGTAAAGGGGGGTTGACAGCCCCCCTCACAGGTTGTCAGAAGACTCAAAATAATCCTGCCTTTGATTTTCTAGTTCTGTATCTAATGTTGTTAATATTTTTTTATACTTTTATACTTGTAAGCTGCCCAGAGATACTTTCAGAGTGAGATGGGCAGCATATAAATGTAAAAAACAAACAAATAAAAAGTAAGCCACCCCATCAGGAACTCCTGAGCAGAAAAGTGGCCTCAAATCATCAGGAGCAGAGAAATAATTGATTTTCTTCTATTTGCTCAGCGGGAATATCCTGTACATCTTCACGCCCTTTAACTGTCAGGCCCCAGAACTCGGGGTTGTTCATATGAGTACAAGTTTATTCCGTGCTATCCCTAAAGAAGAATCTGAACTACCAATGGTGAGGACAAATTGGTGGTAGATAAGAGTCAATGGAATTCAAGATGAACGGGATTTAGACCTCTCGTGGGTGCAAAGGGATGCCAAACTAATGACACTCTTGGCTCCTCCCTCTGGCTCAGCCTGGTCCTTTCCTACATTAAAAAAAACCTTAAGAATGCCACTGGTAACGTGCAGATTGCTGCTTCTGATAATAAGCAACGTAAATCAATAGTAGATGTCTATATAGGAGTCCCCTGGACTGCAGGGTGATCAAACCGGTCAGTCCTGGAAGAGATCAACCCCAACTGCTCTTTAGAAGGCCAGATCCTGAAGTTGAAACTCAAATACTTTGGCCACCTAATGAGAAGGAAGGACTCACTGGAGAAGGGCCTAATGTTGGGAAAAATTGAGGGCAAGAGAAGAAGGGGACGACAGAGAAGGAGGTGGCTGGATGGAGTCACTGAAGGAGGAGACGGTGAGCTTAAATGGACTCCAGAAGATGGTAGAGGACAGGAAGATCTGGAGGAATGTTGTCCATGGGGTCGCGATGGGTCGGACACGACTTCGCAATTAACAACAACAACAACTTGTAATGGAGGATGGGCCGGTCACTTTGGTGTTCAGAAAGAGTTAAAATTCTGACAGCAGAAACCAGTCACCAAGGACCCGGCTGGTCAGGGCCTCAAAAAAAAAAAAAATCGATGCAAAATACATTGCTGATGCAAATCCTTTTGACAAAAGAGCACTTAAAGTTTATTTTCACTTTTGTTTCAACAGTTCACGACCAGGGAGACCCCCCAAGCGCTCTCTGGGGGTTGCGATACAAGAGAACACGCGTCTGCTTCCCCACGGAGTGCCGGGCCTCTTATCGCCAGGACTTATCTCTCCAACAGGTAATAAAATCCTTTGGATGCTTCAGCTCCCTGCTTCGTACTGTGCAGCAGTTGAAATAAACTAATATTGATCTAACGGCCTTGTCCTTCAGGGCTTTTTCAAGCTTTACCAGAGGTTACATTATTGGATTTCTTGAGCATTCATGAAACCTCTCTCCAACCCACCCCCCACCCCCCCAGCCCTCACCCCACGTGGCGTTGCTGAGCTGACTAAAACCTAATGGATTTGCAATTTAGTTCTTCATTAATCGTAATTTCCTTAAAGGGAAAGTGCCATTAGATGCTTGGTCATATGATATGGGGAAAGGTTGATCTCAGAGCTGTGGAAGGACCGCTAAGGGTACTCTTTCAAGAACCTGGTATCCAGGGGGAAGGAAAAAAAATTCTCTCTCTTCTTTGTTTTCTTCCGAACTCAGCAGGGATCATGAGGACAGGAGGAGAAGGGCGGCTTCCTACTCGTGGGGGACGTTAATGGTGTTTGGCTTCAGGAGTGCAGTGTGATAAAAGAGCACAAGAAGCTGTAGAGATAGTATAGATTGCAAGGGGTTGTCCATCTTGGTAGACCTTTTCTGTGATTACACAGTAGGGAGTTTGAGGTGGTGGAGGGCAGCAACGCAGTCAGCAGGACCAATTCACCGAACATTGCTACTTGCCGCAGGGAAGAAAATCGTGGTGCTTCCCATTTCATGTATCAAAGCTGGCTTAGCCAACTTCGATATATGAAGTGGAAAGCACCACAATTTTCTTCTTGCTTGCTTGTTTAGCAGCGGGGCGGGGTCCTCTGCTGTGCATTAATGATCCCTTTGGAAGGATAGGGTTGGCCATCAGATGCTCTGTGCTTTCTACTAATGCCTGGTTACCATCTTTCAGTTAAAACCTTCTTCTTCTTCTTCTTCTTCTTCTTCTTCTTCTTCTAGAAGAAGAAGAAGAAGAAGAAGAAGAAGAAGAAGAAGAAGAAGAAGAAGAAGAAGAAGAAGAAGAAGAAGAAGAAGAAGAAGAAGAAGAAGAAGAAGAAGAAGAAGAAGAAGAAGAAGAAGAAGAAGAAGAAGAAGAAGAAGAAGAAGAAGAAGAAGCTCCTCCTCCTCCTCCTCCTCCTCCTCCTTCTTCTTCTTCTGCCATATCCGTTATCGGACGTTGGCGATCCTGTTTTTATCAGCAGCCGCACGAAAAAGTGCTGCTGAGTTTGGTCCAAACTAGTCCCTTAGAGTTTGAAGCCACGATGTTCTTCTTTTGCTTGGACCTCGTTGGCCTTCCATCTTTCTCTGGAGGATTAAATGGAGTATGCCATATTTTTCTGGGTGTCGCATCACATGTCCGAAATATTCTAATTTTCGTTTTTTAATTGTTTTGATGATTTCCCTTGGCTTTCCCAGGCAGCTTATCACCTCCTCATTTCTGATCTTGTCAACCCAGTTTATACGTAACAGCCGCCTGTAAATCCACATTTCAAATGCTTCTAGTCTCTTCAGGTGGCCTTCTGTCAGAGACTGACTCTCTACTCCATCAATCCCCCTGCTGGGGCAGGAGACCCTGTATCATTTCAGACAAACGGTTGTCCAGTCTCTTTTTGAAAGCCTTCAGTGATGGAGCACCCACCACTTCTGAAGGCAAGCTGTTCCACTGGTTGATTGCTCTCACCGTTAGGAAATTTCTCCTTAGGTCTAGATTGCTTCTCTCCTTGGTTAGTTTCCAACCATTGTTTCTTGTCTTGCCTTTTGGTGCTTTTGGTCTAATGGTAGACCAAGAACAGTTGCAGGAATTGGGTCTGGCTAGTCTAGAGAAAAGAAGGACTATAAGGTGACATGATAGCCCTATTGCAATATTTGAGGGGCTGCCACAAAGAAGAGGAGGTCATCTTATTTTCCAAAGCATCAGACAGCAAGACAAAGAACAATGGACGGAAACCAATCAAGGAGAGAAGCAACCTGGAATGAAAGAGAAACTTCCTAACAGTGAGGACAATTAACTAGTGGAACAGCTTTGCCTTCAGACATTGTGGGTGCTTCATCACTGGAGGTTTTTAAGAAAAAACTAGTCGCTGAATGCCTGGATTTTGTTCATGAGACTGTAGGAAAGTTGTGGCACTTGTAAATGTGAGGACCGGATGTACTGTAAGTAACTTTTTTCAGTGCTGTTGTAACTTTGAATGGTCGCTAAAGAAATGGTTGTAAGCTGAGGATAACCTGTATGAACAATATCAGTGAATCTTCACTAAGCAAAATCCCTACAATGTGCATCAAAATAATAGGGGGGGAGGAGAAGGAGGAATGGGAGAGAGGGAAGGAGGGAGGGAGGAAGGAAAGGATGGCAGGAAGAAAGGAGAAAGGGAAGGAAGGAAGGAAGGAAGGAAGGAAGGAAGGAAGGAAGGAAGGAAGGAAGGAAGGAAGGAAGGAAGGAAGGAAGGAAGAGACAGACAGACAGACAGACAGACAGACAGACAGACAGACAGACAGACAGACAGACAGACAGACAGAGAAATACAAGCTATTTTGAATTATTCCATGCCTGGCTGTCTGCTGTCAAAAGCAGATGAGGAAGGCCAAGGGAAATAGTGATAACTTATGATGGCTGGTTATGAATCCTGCTCCACAACTCTAATCACATATTGAGATGTCCACACATACAGTATTTCAAGATGCAGGTAATACGCATTTTGTCACTCCTGCTGCAACCCTTGCAATACTAAAACAAACAACAGCGGAGACGTATCGCAGGACTCATCCCGCACAACTGAGCCATTAACCATAGCCTGACATTCAGCAGTTCTGCCAAGGCAGGGTTTTTTTCCTTGGCATGCAGATGAAATAGGAAGAGGAATAATGCATGTTTCCTTGCCATGCTGTCTTCACCTTCAAAGCTTCGACACTTCACTGTGGGAGACATCATAGTTAACATTAAGGTTTCCCCCAAACAAATGAAAAAAACAAAACAGAACAAAACAAAACCACGGCCAGTGTTTGCATGTCAACGATGAATCTTTAAACACCCTTGTAAACACATCTAGAAAAGAGCAGCGTTGATTTTTGTAAAGCACCTTCACAGGGCCGTTACAAGGTGTCACTCATTCCATCTCTTGTTCCCTTTCTCCCTCCGCTTCTCTCACAGAGGCAGAGATACAGAACACTCCTATAACAGGTCCTCAGCTTATGACTCTAAGGGAGACTGCCCATTACAGTCAATAAGCCGTGACGGTCGTACGATCGTTGTATGACCGACCCAATTGTACGACCTTCTTTGTAGCGGTCGTTAAGCCAATCACTACAGTTGTTAAGTGAATGCTGAAGTCATTAAATGAACTGGGGGTTTACTATGGGTATGGTGGTTTTTTTTTGCTAAAAACTGAAAGTAAATCCTTTTTGGCTAAAAAACCCTCGTGATTGCGGGTCGCTGCAAACAGTCATAGGTGTGGATGTGTTTCCCAGCGCTGGCTGTTCAGCCACATGACTGGGGGAGGAGGTGATTGTCAGAACTTTGAATCTGGGTTGTAAGTAGCCTCAAGATTAGGTCTGTCATAACTCTGGAGTGGTTGCTAAGCAACTGGTCATAAGTCAAGGATTACCTCAGCCCAATTATAGCTGTTCGGAAAGTTCTTGTTTTGCTTCCCTTCTGCCTATAAAGCACGTGAAGATTATTTTCGAAGACAAATCTGCAGCAAACTACTTTAATGTCCAAAGGCTAATAATGTTGTTAATTTACAAAGAGCATTGAGGTTGCCCAATTACACAAAATCCAGATTTGATTTTTTTTTTTTTTTTGATTCCTTCGTCTTGGCTTTTGCCACCCTGACTTTTCCCCTGTGGTGAAAGGATTGATGCTAGCCACGTTCTGTCAGGGTGATAAATAGCATCTCTTCTCGGCAGCTTCCTTTCCATCTGCCGTGCCCTCGGACGAAGCCGGAACGAGAAGGAGCTTGCCCTGCGCAGCCAGTAACGCCTCTGAGTCGCACCTTGCGGGTTTCTTGTAGGAAAATCTCAGATAATGAAAACATCGGGCGGGTAATGTCTGCGTCTGGAAACTGCCCTCATTATATTGATCAGCGAAAGCTCAATTGGAGAGGGCAGGTTTCAGTCGAGGGTGCACTGCAAATCAGGAATGCAAGGTATTACTCTTCCACGGACATTTTGTTGGGGTGTGTTATTCAAAAACAACTCCTTTCTCCCAAAGCCTTCATCTCTGGCATTGAGATATTCGTTGTGCTGTGACAGGATTCTCTGGGCCTGAGAGAGAGGAAATGGGTGTTTCCAGAATATAGGCAGCCCTCACAACTTCTGATCACAACTGAGCCAAACTTTCTATTGCTAAGCAAAGTTGTAAGTTGTGCCTCGTTTTACAACCTTT